GAAGCGTGTTGTTTAGCCTCCATATGTTTGAGTTTTTAATAATTTTTTTCCTGTAATTGAGATCTAATCTTACTGCACTGTGGTCAGAAGAGATGACTGGAATGATTTCAATTTTTTTGAATTTACCAAGACTGGATTTATGGCCCAGGATGTGATCTATTCTGGAGAAGGTTCCGTGTGCACTTGAGAAAAAGGTGAAGTTGATTGTTTTGGGGTGAAACATCCTATAGATGTCAATTAGGTCTAGCTGGTCCATTGTGTCCTTTAAAGTTTGTGTTTCCTTGTTCATTTTCTGTTTAGTTGATCTATCTATAGTTGTGAGTGGGGTATTAAAGTCTCCTACTATTATTGTGTTACTATTAATTTCCTCTTTCATACTCGTTAGCGTTTGCCTTACATATTGCGGTGCTCCTATGTTGGGTGCATATATATTTATAATTGTTATATCTTCTTCTTGGATTGATCCTTTGATCATTATGTAGTGTCCATCTTTGTCTCTTTTCACAGTCTTTATTTGAAAGTCTATTTTATCTGATATGAGTATTGCGACTCCTGCTTTCTTTTGGTCTCCGTTTGCGTGGAATATTTTTTTCCAGCCCTTCACTTTTAGTCTGTACGTGTCCCTTGTTTTGAGGTGGGTATCTTGTAGACAGCATATATAGGGGTCTTGCTTTTGTATCCATTCAGCCAGCCTTTGTCTTTTGGTTGGGGCATTCAACCCATTTACATTTAAGGTAATTATTGATAGGTATGGTCCCGTTGCCATTTATTTTGTTGTTTGGGGTTCACGTTTATACCACCTTTCTGTGTTTCCTGTCTAGAGAAGATCCTTTAGTATTTGTTGAAGAGCTGGTTTGGTGGTGCTGAATTCTCTCAGCTTTTGCTTGTCTGTAAAGCTTTTGAGTTCTCCTTCATATCTGAATGAGATCCTTGCTGGGTAGAGTAATCTAGGTTGTAGGTTATTCTCCTTCATTGCTTTAAGTATGTTCTGTCATTCCCTTCTGGCCTGGAAGGTTTCTATTGATAGATCAGCTGTTATCCTTATGGGAATCCCTTTGTGTGTTATTTGTTGTTTCTCCCTTGCTGCTTTTAATATTTGTTCTTTGTGTTTGATCTTTGTTAATTTGATTAATATTTGTCTTGGGGTGTTTCGCCTTGGGTTTATCCTGTTTGGGACTCTCTGGGTTTCTTGGACTTGGGTGGCTATTTCCTTCCCCATTTTAGGGAAGTTTTCAGCTATTATCTCCTCGAGTAACTTCTCATGGCCTTTCTTTTTGTCTTCTTCTTCTGGGACTCCTATGATTCGAATGTTGGGGCGTTTCACATTGTCCCAGAGGTCCCTGAGGTTGTCCTCATTTCTTTTGATTCTTTTTTCCTCTCTGCTTCATTTATTTCCACCATTTTATCTTCTAACTCACTTATCCTATCTTCTGTCTCTGTTATTCTACTCATGGTTCCCTCCAGAGTGTTTTTGATCTCATTTATTTCATTATTAATTTTTAATTGACTTTTTAAAATTTCTTCTAGGTCCTTGTTAAACATTTCTTGCATCTTCTCAATCTTTGTCTCCAGGCTATTTATTTGTAACTCCATTTTGTTTTCAAGACTTTGGATCATTTTTATTATCATTATTCTAAATTCTTTTTCAGGTAGATTCCCTATTTCCTCCTCTTTTGTTTGACTTGGTGGGGTTTTTTCATGTTCCTTTACCTGTTGGGTATTTCTCTGCCTTTTCATCTTGTTTAGATTGCTGTGTCTGGAGTGGGTGTTCTGTATTCTTGTGGTCTGTGGTTCCTTTTTATTGTAGAGGTTTCACCCAGTGGGTGGGGTTGGACGATTTGTTTGTCAAGGTTTCCTGGTTAGGGAAGCTTGTGTCAGCGTTCTGGTGTGTGGAATTGGATTTCTTCTCTCTGGAGTGCAATGGAGTGTCCAGTAATGAGTTTTGCGATGGGTCTATGTGTTAGGTGTGACTTTGGACAGCCTGTATGTTGACACTCAGGTCTATGTTCCTGCGTTGCTAAAGAATTTGCGTGGTATGTCTTGTACTGGAGCTTATTGGCTCTTGGGTGGTGGTTGGTTTTGGTGTAGGTATGGAGGCTTTTGGATGGTCTCTTATTCCTTAATGTTCCGTGTAGTCAGGAGTTTTCTGGTTTTCTCAGGTTTTGGGCTTAAGTCTCCTGCCTCTGGATTTCAGTTTTATTCTTCCAATAGTCTCAAGACTTTTCCAACTATACAGCACTGATAATAAAACTTCTAGGTTAACGGTGAAAAGATTCTCCACCGTGAGAGACAACCAGAGAGGTTCACAGAGTTACATGAAGAATAGGAGAGGGAGGAAGGAGATAGAGGTGAGCAGGAGGAGAAAAAGGGGACTCAAGAGGAGAGAGACAGATCTACGCAGTTATCTGTTCCCAAAGTGTTCTCCGTAGCCCAGACCCCCACAAAGATTCACAGAATTGGATTGGGAAGAGAAGGGGAAAGGAGGAAATAGAGGTGTTCTGAGGTAGAAAACAGAGAGTCAAAAGTGGGAGAGTAATCACCACACTCCTGAATAGAAATGGGACCTGAATATTGGATTCTTAAATGTCCAAAATTTATATCATATACTGAAAAACAAAGATTAAAAATCTAGTGTAGAGGTTAGACTCTTTGAAATACAATATTTGAAAACAAAAACAAAAACACACAAAAAATTTAGAAATGTATATGAAATTTGGTTTAAAAATAGGGTTTCTCTCTCTCTCTCTCTTTTTTTGGCAAGGTTATAGTGAAACGAAAATGAAAATTAAGGAATAATAGAGGAGTATTAGAGGACTTCAAAAGGAAATAGGAGAGAAAAACAAAAAGAAAAAAAAAAGAAAAAAAAATTTTTTTTCCCTAATTAAAAAAATCGTAAAAATATATGAAAATGAAAGTTGAGTAATGGGGGAGTAATAGGGAATTTTAAAACAAAATAAAAGAGAAAAATAAAAAATAAAAAGAAAGGAAAGAAAAAAAATTTTTTTTAATTAAAAAAAAACAAAACATATTTATCTAGGAATTTCTCTGGAGTTGTTGCGGTCAGAGTAGGTTCAGTTCAATTTCCGATAGCTCCTCTTTCCAGCTTACACTTCTCGATATCTATAGGCCCCTTCTGGTGTAGTCAGTGTTACCTTCAGGGATTTTAATCTCCTTTCTGAAGCGGTTCCCTTTGTTTATTTGGCTTCTGTTTGCCGTCTCTTCGGTGTCTAATTTCCGCCCTGACACAGGCGGGTGGAGGTGATCTCTTATTTAGGTTCGCCAGTTCGGTTCAGTCCTGCTACGGGGAGGGCGGGGCGCTGCAGACAGATACCGCTCTGTGTGGATAGCACTCACCGTGTTCCGGCCACACTGGGTTTGCCCCGCTCACGGGTGTCAGTGCTTTCCCCATCTACACTGCTCAGGCTCCCGGCTGCTCTATATGGAGCGGGCCCTGCGTTGAGTGCGGTTCCAGTTTTCGGGTACTCCACAAAAGCGCGGATTCAGTTGCGCCTGCGTTTTGTGCCTTCCCCGGCCTGAGCGGTTCAGGCAGCCAGAGGCTTGGGCGTACTCTCCCTGGATGCGGGGCGCCTTTTCCCTCAGCGTCGAGCGGCCCAGGCAGCCAGAAGCTTGGGCGCACTCTCCCCAGATGCGGCGAGCCTTTTCCCTCCGCGGCGAGCGGCTCAGGCAGCCAGAGGCTTGGGTGCACTCTCCCCGGGTATGGCGCGCTTTTTCCCTCCGCGGCCCCAGCGCGCGCCGCCAGTCGGGTCTCAGGAAGTCTTTAGATAGGAACCGGGGGCCTGTTTGCAGTGTGGGAGGGGGTGGCTTCTCAGGGGCTGAGTTTGCCCTTTTCCCCTCCCCCCTGCCTCCTACCTCCAGCGGGGGTGGGCTGGCTCTTCTCTAGAGTTTCTCAGTCCCTTTGTTTTGCGAACCGCCGGCAGTGTGTTCGGGCCTGTTAATTTTGTCCCTTGCTATCCCGCAGTTTAAAAAAAGCTCCCTCCGATTGCTCTCAGGGTCTTCGGGCCGGTCCTTACCCTAAGCAATGCCACCCGCTCCTCTCCGTTCCGCCCCCGCTTGTTGCTGGCGGGTGCGGGCGTCTGGGGTACTTTTCTGCTGGGAGTTGCTTTTAGGCACGTAATCTATGGGCCTTATTTAATTTTTCCTCCCAGTTATATTGCCGAAAACTTCCCCCAGTCCCGCCAGTGCGAGGGTTTCCTGGTGATTGGAAACTTCCTCTATTAAGACTCCCTTCCCGGGACGGGTCTCCGTAGCTCTTTTGTCTCCCTTTTTATCTTTTATATTTTGTCCTACCTCCCTTCGAAGACAATGGGCTGCTTTTCTGGGTGCCTGATGTCCTCTGCTAGCGATCAGAAGTTGTTTTGTGAAATTTGCTCAGCGTTCAAATGTTCTTTCAATGAATTTGTAGGAGAGAAAGTGGTCTCCCCGTCCTATTCCTCCGCCATCTTGGCTCCTCCTTGGTACAGCGACTTCTTAACCCCTTGGCCCGGAAGTTACATCTCATAAATGAAAGCTAGTCATAAGATCCATCTAGCTGCAGAGGATTCTGGGGAATGTAGTCCCTGGTTGGGCTGTTATGTTTTAGCAAGAACTCTTTGTTTGAGGGGCTTCCCTGGTGGCTCAGTGGTAAAGAATCTGCCTGCAATGCAGGAGGAGGTGCAGGTGACATGGGTTCCATCCCTGGGTGGGGAAGATCCCCTAGAGGAGAACATGGCAACCCACTCCAGCTTTCTTCCCTAGAGAATCCCATGGACAGAGGAGCCTGGTGGGCCACAGTCCACAGGGTTGCAAAGAGCCAAACACGGCTGAAGAACTGAGCACATGTGCTCCCTCTGCTTTGAAAGGGGAAGAGTGATTTTTGTTGGCTTGGTGACCCATCCTGCATCATGCCTGGTCTCTACTCCACAGATGTCGATGAGTGCCGTGACAGGTGACAGTATCACCTTACTTCTCTGCACCGTTTGATATCTTTGAGTTTTTTGCAGATGTTGATGAGTGCCTTCAGGATCCCTCACGATGCGGCCCAAATTCTGTCTGTACCAACACCCTGGGCTCCTACAGCTGTGGCTGCATTGTAGGTTTTCATCCCAATCCAGAAGACTCCTGGAAACACGGCAACTTCAGCTGCCAAAGTAATAATCTCCTTACATATCTTGGCAATAGAATCTGTGTCTTGCTTTGTCGAATTCTCACTTTTTCTCATTCTCTGGATTCTCCTCTTTTTTTTTTTTTTACTTTATCTACATAGTCTCTTATTTTCTGTTCACTTGTTCATTTATTAATCACTCATCTGATAAATTATGTTTGGAGCATCTGCTAATTAATAAATTCAACAGTCCTCTGCACTAGGTCCTGAGGATTTAATCCTGGATATGATAGACATGATAGCTACCCTCATGGAGCTTATAGTCTAGGGAAGGGAGCACATGCATAATTATTTAATAACCACAATAAGTGTGACAATTGAAAAATTGCAGTGCACTTTGTTGTGCATTGTGTAGTAGGATATTTAATATGCTCTGTGAAGTGCCATTTAAACAGAAACTTAAAGAAAGAGTGTGGATTATCTAGATTAAGAGTAGAGTTCATGGTGCTCCAAATGATAGCATGTGCAAAGGCCCTGAGGCTAATGCAAAGTGAGGAGGGCATGGGAAAATGGCATTTATTTCATCTGAGGATGTGGGCAGAGGTCAGCTTCTATAGGACTTGTGTGCTGTGTAAAGAATTTTATAGTCTTTTTGCTGAGAACCATGGGGAATTTTGAAAGGTTTAAAATTTTTTAAGTTATGGACTATTTGTTGTGTTAAAAGTATAGATAACTTATATGGAGGCAAAGGGGTATGATAATAAAATGAGTATATCTTAAGTCCTTAGCAACATGAGAACTAGAACATCATCAATGCCAATACATATCCCTGACTCCTCTGAAGAGAGGCCCACTTGGAACTTTGTTTCTAATTCCTGTACTTAAAATATTCCCCCACTAACATCCCTTGTTTAGTATGGTTTGCTTTGGAGCTTTGTAAAAATGGTATTGTACTATGTATAGTCTTTTCTGACTTGCTTTCTTCACTTGCTATCATGCTTCTCAGAATCACTGCTGTAGTGTGTAGCTATAGTTTGTTCATTTCCACGGTTGTATTATATAACATGGCAATGGATGGATTTCAAGCAGGGGACGATGAACGTAGACTTGCTGGGGTTAAGTTTGATTTGGTTGCTTTTGTTTTCTTCTGAGGGATTCCCTTCAAGTGTAAAGATGATGTGGTACCCAACAACAAGCAGGTCCAGTTATGCCATGTGGGAGCAGCAGTGGAGCCTAAATATGTAAGTATTTTTGAAGGTTCCTAGTTTTCGAGGTTTTTCCCAGAGGGCACTTAGGTAGGATGTTGTCCTGCAGCTTTTACAAAGACAAAAATAATCGTGGCCTAGACCAGATAGATGTTTTTTCTCTCTTTGTAGCAATCTGAATGTAAGCTGCTGAGATCTGACATGATGGCTCCATAATACTCTTCCATCATCAACACAAGAGTCCCTTATTGTGGTCCAAAATGGCTACTGCAGCTCCTGCCATCAAATCTGCATTCCAGTTGGTGGGCAGGGGAGAAGGGCAAGTGAAAGGCACAGTCCTTCCCTTTAAGCATATGACCTAGTATCACTTTTGCTTACCCAGCTTCAAGGAAAGCTGGAAAGGAAGGACATTTGCTATCTAAAACTTGGGAATTTGTTTACTCATACAAGTAAGAATGTTGGAGTCTCACTTTTTGTGAGGTGTATTGCTGCGTCTGTGTGAAGTGGAATGGGTGATACACAGCCTCCAAGCCAGGCAAAGAGGAATTTGGATATCTTGATTTTCTAATGAAGTCATTTTAGTGAGTAAAGACTCCAGAAGCATTTTCAGAAATTGATGTCACTATATTAAATATGAACTTATAAATTAGCTTTGGAATTCCCATGTACTTAAGTCCACAGTTGGTTTTTTTAAATTGTGAAATACACATAAAATTTATCATTTTAAAGTGTACAATTCAGAGGCATTTAGTACACTCACAGTGGTGTGCAAACACCACTTCTATCTCCAAAGCTTTTTCATCACCACCAAAATAAACCCTATATGTCCATTAGCAGTCTTCCCTCCTGTCCTCAATCCCCTCAAAACAGTGATCTAATTTCTATCTCTATAGACTTGCTCATTCTGGATATTTCATATAAATGAAATCATACACTACGTGGTCTTCTGTGTCTGGCTTCTCTCACTGAGCATCATGCTCTCAAGGCCCAACCACCTTGTAGGGAGTATCAGTGCTTCAGTCCTTTTCATAGCTGAAATATATTCCACTTGGACCACTGGTCTTTCCACACATTTTCTGTCTTTCTTTGTTCTTGTTGTTCAATCACTCAGTTGTGTCAGACTCTTTGCAACTCCTTGAATTGCAGCACACAGGTTCTACATTTCCCTGTCCTTCGCTATCTCCTGGAGTTTGTTCAAACTCATGTCCACTGAGTCAATGAGGACATCCAACCATCTCACCCTCTGTCACCCCCTTCTCCTCCTGCCCTCAATCTTTCCCAGCATCAGGGTCTTTTCCAATGAGTCGGCTGCTCGCATTGGGTGGCCAAAATATTGGAACTTCTGTCTTTTTACCCCACTCAATAGTTTTGCTGTTGGTTGATGGGAGAGAAAGGTGCTGTGATTTCAATTCTGATTGAAGGGTGAGTTTTATTTTCCTAAGAATACTATAGCCTCTTGACACCCCAGGAATTCAAGACCACCCCATGTGGAGGGCCTAGTGGCCCAGTTTGTACATTTCATGCTTGATCAGTGCTCACAGATGCTCTTCCCGCTCGGATACAGGTTTCGTTTTGTGCGCTGATGAATGCCACCCTCGACGTTCTGGACAATGTCTGTAAAAACAAAACCACTGTCATCTCTCTGAAGGTAACACTGAAGTCTTTGTAATCATGTTTTGAGTTTCGAACATCTTGGGGGTGTACCTTGGGTGCAGAACATCCTCTTTAACATAAAAGGGTTGTGAGTGAACATTTAATCTACTCCAGTTGTAAGGTTTGAAAAATTAACATGCAGAAAAATTGCCTTTTTTTCTGTACAGTTTTGTGGGGTTTATAACTTGAGTAGGTTTGTGTAATTACCACCACAATTAGACAATAGAACTGTTCCATCCCTCTCCCCTCACAACTTCCCTGGCCTTCCTTGTTTTTTTAACTTAAAAAATTAAAAAAATATTTTTTTGGTCACATGGCATGTGGGATCCTAGTTCCCCAACCAAGGATCAAACCTGCACCCCTGGCAGTGGAATTGCAGAGTCTTAACCACTGGACCACTGAAGAAGTTCCTTGGGTTTCCTCTTTACAGCCATATATTCAACCCCTTCACCGTTAACTCCTGTGAATTCCTTATCTGTTCTCTGTCATTTTAGCTTTATCTTTTCAAGAATGTTTTGTAAACAGAATCACACAATAAGTGGCCTCTGTGAATTCCTTATCTGTTCTCTGTCATTTTAGCTTTATCTTTTCAAGAATGTTTTGTAAACAGAATCACACAATAAGTGGCCTTTAGAGTCTAGCTTCTCTCAGTAAGCACAGTGTTTTCAAGTTTCATCCACTTTGTAGCATGTCAGTGCTTCACTCCTTTTTGTGGCTGATAGTATCCCATTTTCTGGGTGGACCACAGCAGGTTTATTCACTCGTCTTTGAAGGATATTTGAATTGTTTCCACTTGACCAAGATCTCTTCATTCCTCCACCCCCACCTCAACTTTTGGTGATTATCAATAGAGCCATGATAAACATTTATGTGTGTGTGTGTGTTTGTGTGAATCTGAATTTTCATTTTTCCAGGGTAGATACATAGAAGTGGAATGACTAGATTATTATAGTTGCAGATTTTATATAGATCTTTTTATTGATATATAGTTGATTTACAATGTTGTGTTAATTTCTGTCATACAGCAAAGTGATTCAGTTACATATGTATATACATTAAAAAATATTCTTTTTCCATTATGGACTTATCATAGGATACTGAATATAGTTCTCTACAGTTGCAGATATTAAACATTAATTTCTACTAAGTCTTTAAGTTACAACTAATGGATGTTATTTCATTGATAAATTCAAATGAAAATAAGAATAACATTTTCATCTGTATTCTTGTGAATTTTAAATTAATTAGTATAACATTTATTCATGAAGTGTATATTCATTCATAGAGTTTTCAGATTAAATTTGTATAACAATGAGCCCTTTCAACAAACATTTAAATTCCTGCAAACATTTTCTAACATGTTTACATATATTCTCATTTCTCCCCAAATTTTAAGTACTGAAAATTTGATTTTAAGATTTTAAGATTTTAAGATTTACAAACCTAAGGCAAGGTTACTCTACCCTTACATGTTGTGTGTGCCAAGTCGCCTCAGTCATGTCCAACTCTTTGTGACCCTTTGGAGCATAGTCTGCCAGATTCCTCTGTCGATGGAATTCCCCAGGCAAGAACACTGAAATGGCTTACCATCTCCTCCTCCAGGGGATCTTCCTGATTGAACTCGTATCTCTTATGTCTTCTGCATTGGCAGGCGGGTTCTTTACCACTAGTGCCACCTGAGAAGCCCTTACTATGTTCTTAAAGGATTTATAAATCCAATGAACCACATGTATGAATATAATAATTCAGATTTTTTAAATGTGCAATGCAGTATGTCAACCATAAAATTGTTCTCTTAAATTGTTCAGATAAAAATCACAAGTCTAATTGCTTTTTGGCATGAAATCATCTGATTGGTTTGCTTCTCTAATACATCAAATTGTTCCAACCATTGAGGAACAGATATCCAAATTAAGCCAAAGATTAAAAGATGTCCTAAAATTAACACACGTGTTTTACCATTATGGAGTTTTAGCCTGCCTGCTATTTTTTTCTTTCCTGAAGAAATAAACTAAACTTCCTAGCTAAGATGAATAAATTTAACGTCAAAGGGAATTTTGATGAGGTTTCATCTGCTACAGAACTGAGAATCACACTTTTTCAGGATGATTCTAGTTGAGATTCTTCTGCTGTGTCAGTGGAGAGGGACCCCAAATTCATGCCTTTCGTTTGGGATATGGTTACAAAACACAGTACATCTTGTTTTTCCCAGACAAACATCTCTCAAGTTTCAATCTGACTACGTTTTTACTGATGTTGTTTTCATCTTCTTGTCATCAAATTTGGGTAAATAGATATTGGTTTCCCTGCTAAGATTTCTGTTAATTTCCTTCACCATTGGACTGGATTCAATTAATTTCTTCCCTTTGTTACTTAGGTTGTGAATTATTTTCTGATTTTTTTTGTTGGGGTCACATTTTATAGTCAATTTATTGACAATAATCAACAATCAAGGAAACAGTATCAGCATTAATATTAACACAATTACTGCTATTCTTTCCTTAACTGTGTTCCTTAGAACCAAATGTTAACATTTAGATGTGTATCTTTCCGTATCTTTTTTTACTTTGTGAATACATGGATAACAGATCCACACCACACACACACATTGAAGCATTTATTGAGTACCTACTGAGTGGTATATAGCAGTGATTAAGAATCCAACCTCTGATGCCAGACCCCCAAGGTTCAAATCTTGGTCCTGCTACCTACAAGATATGTACTCATGTTTTCCCATCCCAAGTGGTATTAACAGTAGCCTCATTTCATAGTTATTATAAAATTAAATAATATATATATTATTTAAATAATATATAATAAATTAAATAATATATAATAAATTAAACAATATATATAATATATCATAAAAATAAATAATATATAAGATTATATAATAATATATATAATATTTATATGTTATATATGAATAATACATATTATTCATATGTAATACTTATATATTATATATTAAATAGTATATAATATATAATATATATATTACATATAGTATATATAATATATAATATATTTTATATATACTTAATATATATAAGTTAAACACAATTTAATTATAAATTAAATAATATATAAACCTGCTTGTTAATGTATATAGATATACTATATCATTCTTTTATTAGCAACTGCATGTGGGGCTTCCCCTGTATATGGAGGATCCCCTGGAGAAAGGCATGGCTACCCACTCCAGTATTCTTGCCTGGAGAATCCCATGGACAGAGAAGCCTGGCGGGCTACAGTCCATGGGGTCACAAAGAATCAGATACAACTGAGTGACTTTCACACTATCCCATGATTTGATTTTAGCATGTTTTATTTAATCAATTGCTTGGACATTCAGGCTTTCCAGATTTTTGCTATCAAAAACCCTGCTGAGATGAACATCATTACACAAGATCCTTGCACAATTTTAAAGTATTTCTTGAAGGAGGGAATTCCCGGAAGGGAAATTGCTGAGTCAAAAGGGTACGTGTAAATTACAAGGCAACAAGTGCTGACTTACTGCATACCAAGTTGCATCTCCATTTCCTGAATCAGGAAAAAGAGGCTGAGGAAATGTCCTTTTTTTTTCTTTTAAGATTGTTTTTTTAAAGTCTTTATTGAATGTGTTACAATATTGCTTATTTTATGTTTTGGGTTTTTTTGGCCAAAAAAAAAAAATGTATGATGATGTATGGGATCTTAGCTCCCCAACCAGGGATGGAACCCATGCCACCTGCATTGTATGGAGCAGTATTAACCACTGGACCACCAGGGAAGTCCCTAGTGAATGGCCTTTTACATTTTTTATCATCCCAGACTGTCAACCCATTCTCATGGTGAGAGACGGGGGACAGCTGCTGTTTCATTGATGAGAGAGAGAGCAAACACACCTTTCCTTGCAGAGTACGGCTAAGAGATTTGCCTCTGTGATTGAAAAAACATCCAAGTGGTCCAACTTCACCAAAGAAGAGACCTCTACACTGGCCACAGTCTTGCTGGAGAGCGTGAAAAGCACCATGCTGGCAGCTTTTCTGAAACCCTCAGCGAATGTCAGTCAGACTATTCAGACGAAACTCTTAGGTAGGATATCTCTTTGGTGTCAAGGTCACACCTGGGGGCTGACTTAGGCGGGTGACTTTGACATTGTGATTCCCCATGGCTTTCTCATATACCACATTCAACTTGTGTCTTCTGTGTTGGCAGGTGGATTCTTTACCACTGAACCACCTGGGAAGCCCTAAAGTGGAGTGGAGGACAGTAAAATCTGTAGGAGAAGGGATCAGAAAAGAGAGAGGCAGATTTTGTAGACAAACGCTGGCTTCCCTGAAGTCTTAGTGGTAAGGAATCTGCTTGCAATGCAGGAGATGCAGGATACCTGGGTTCGATCCCTGGGTCAGGAAGAACCCCTGGAGGAGGAAATGGCAATCCACTCCAGTATTCTTGCCTGGGAAATCCCATGGGTGGAGGAGCCTGGCAGGCTACAGTCCAAGGGGTCCCAAAGAGTTGGAGGTGACTGAACACACAGCAGGGAATCACAATTTGACTTGAGGTAATGGGAGGGAGTGGGATTGAAAAGTTTGAGAATAAACACAGTCTCATCTAGCTTATATTTTAAAAGGACACCTCTGGTTCCATTACCTATCTTGTTTTTATCTTAAATCCTGTAATTATTGCCATATTACAGGTAAGAAATCTGAGGCTCAGAGAGGTTAAGTCATTGGTCAAGTTTAGACAGCAGGTGAGTGGTAGAGCTGGGCCTCCTAGTTTGTGCAGAACCTGAGCCCTTTTCTACCATGCTGGGCTTGCTCCAGACCCTCCTGATTTCCTTTGGTTTTGAAAAACCAGTCTAACTTTGGAATGGTCAGAGGCTCATGACTGTGTTATCTTCCATCCTTGTTCACTTCAAGTTCATTTTTCCCTGAAGCATCTCCTAAGATGTGAACCCTTACTCCTAGAGTTCCAACTGGGTTTCGAATTTGTCTGGTGCCTCTATCTACCTGTCATTAATCAAGGGCCTCAGGATCTTTCCCATGACCCACCATTCTTTCTGTTCTTTCCCTCGCTTAAAATTAGAGATGCATTCCTTTCTTAGCCAGAAACCAAACTCAGATCCCACTTTCTGGGTGACCTCCTGCCACTTCTCCCTTTCTCCCTTTTAGATATCGAGAGCAAAGTGATCGACAAAGAATGCGCTGAGGAGAACGAGACATTTAAGTTGAAAGCAAAAGGGGATGAAATGAAGATTTGGTGTTCCACGATCGAAGAATCTGAATCCACAGGTACAAACCCATTCCTGAGAAACAAAGGGGAGGGTTATGGTGCATTTAAGTGGCAGATATTCATGGATTGATTGCTTTTTAAAAAAATTTATTTTTTAATGTTTTTTAATTGGAGTGTACTTGCTTTACAATGTTGTGTTCATTTCTGCCATACAACAAAATGAATCAGCTATGTGTGTGCTCAGTCGCTTAGTCATGTCCGACTCCTGGCAACCCCATGTATTGTATAGCCCACTGGCTTCCTTTGTCCATGATATTTCCCAGGAAAGAATACTGGAGTGGATTGCCATTTCCTTCTCCAGAATCAGCTATATGTATTCATATATCCCCTCCCTCCCACCCTGCCCACAGATTGACTGCTTTTTAGGCCTTTTTTTAAAAATTAAACAAAATTTTTATAGTAAGCCCTTATTGGTTGGGCTTCCCAGGTGGCACTAGTGGTAAAGACTCTGCCTGTTAGTGAAGGAGATTCAAGAGATGCGGGTTCTATCCCTGGGTCGGGAAGATCCTCTGGAAGAGGAAGTGGTGATTCACTCCAATATTCTTGCCTGGGAAATCCCATGGACAGAGGAGCCTGGTGGGCTATAGTCCATGGGGTAGCAAAGAGTCAGACTTGACTGAGTACAACAAAAACAATATTTTGTTGGTTATGTTTCAAATAGAGCAGTGTGATCCTATCAATCCCAAACTCCCTCTATGCATCCTTTCCCCAGACTCTCCCCACCCCAGTCCCCTCAGTTACCACAAATTCATTCTCTACGTCTGCAAGTCTGTTTCAGTTTTGTAAGTAAATTCATTTGGATCATTTTTTAAAATTCTGCATTTAAGTGACATCCTATGGTTTATTTCCTCTGTCTGACTTACTTCACTTTGTATGATAATCTCCAGCTCCATCCATGTTCACACAAATGGCATTATTTTATTCTTGTTTATGGCTGAGTAGTATTCCATTGTTGATATGTACCATATCTTCTTTATCCATTCACCTGTCCAGGGATATTTAGATTGCTTCCATGCCACACACCAAGGAAACCAGAATTGAAAGAGACATGTGCACCCCAATGTTCAGCGCAGCACTGTTTATAATAGCTAGGACATGGAAGCAACCTAGATGTCCATCAGCAGACAAATGGATAAGAAAGCTGTGGTACATATACACCATGGAATATTACTCAGCCATTAAAAAGAATTCATTTGAATCAGTTCTAATGAAGTGGATGAAACTGGAGCCTATTATACAGAGTGAAGTAAGCCAAAAAGAAAAACACCAATACAGTATACTAACGCATATATATGGAATTTAGAAAGATTGTAATGATAACTGTAATGCAAGACAGCAAAAGTGACACAGATGTATAGAACAGTCTTTTGGATTCTGTGGGAGAAGGCAAGGGTGGGATGTTCTGAGAGAATAACATTGAAGCATGTATATTACCAAGTGTGAAACAGATCACCAGTCCAGGTTTGATGCATGAGACAGGGTGCTCAGGGCTGGTGCACTGGGAAGACCCAGAGGGATGGGATGGGGAGGGAGGTGGGAGGGGGTTCAGGATGGGGAACACATGTAAATCCTGGCTGATTCATGTCAATGTATGGCAAAAACCACTACAATATTGTAAAGTAATTAGCCTCCAATTAAAATAAATTAATTTTTTTAAAAAGTAAAAAAAAAAAACCAAACAAACAAAAAAAGAGATTGCTTCCATGCCTTGACTATTGTAAACATTGCTGCAATGAACATTGAGATGCATCTATTTTTTTATTTTAATTTTTTATTATTTTGAGCAAATATTTATTGAAAATAAAATAATGATAGAGGCAGAAATAGCCCATGCCCTCAGGGAGTTTCCCATCTTCTAGGGAAGTCAGACATGAAATAATCTCTGGGAGTAGAGTCTAGAAGAGTGTGGATATTTGTATATGTATGGCAGGTCTATGAAAAAGACCCTGATGCTGGGAAAAACTGAGGGCAGGAGGAGAAGAGGGTGACAAAGGATGAGATGGTTGGATGGCCTCACCGACTCAATGGACATGAGTTTGAGAAAACCCTGGGAGACAGTGAAGGACCCAGAAACCTGGAGTGCTGTAGTCTATGGGGTCGTAAAGAGTCAGACACGGCCTAGAGACTGAACAACAACGGCTGGTTTACTTTGGTATACAGCAGAAACTAACACAACACTGTAAATCGGCTATATCTCAACAAAAAATTAATTTAAAAATAATCTTACGATAGGGGAATGTCAAGATGTTTCCTGTCTAATCCAGCAGCCATTGGTCACATTTTGTTATTGAGAGCTTTAAGTGTGGTTAGACTATGAGTGTAATATGCATACCGGATTTCAATGTCTTGGTGCCAGAGATGAAGGAATTAAAATATCTTATGAATAATTTTTAGAATGACTGCATGTTGAAATGAAAATATTTTGCAGGTAGTGAGTTCATATATAATTTAAATGATCCTTTATTTTTTTTTTTTTACTGTTCTGAAACGTGGTTACTGGAAAATTTAAAATTACACATGTGACTCATACTGTATTTCTAACATACAGTGCTAATCAGTATCAGGGATTAGCAAACGCTTCCTGTAAACCGTGGTTGGTAAACGTTTAAGGCGTTGAGCAAGATAGGATCTGTTGCAATTATTTCAACTCTGTCATCAGGGTGTGCAAAAGCATTCCTAGGCAATATGTAAATTAATGGGTGAGACTGTGTTGCAATGAGATTTTTATTCACACACACAAAAAAAACAGGCAATGGGGACTACCCTTAAGGTTCATTGGTTAAGAATCCACCTATCGACGCAGGAGAGGTGGGTTTGATCCCAGATCAGAGAAGATCGTACATGCTGAAGGGAAATGAAGCCTGTGTGCCACCACTACTGAGCCCATTTACTGGAGCTACTGCAGGCTGCATGCCCTAGAGCCCATTGTCTACAACAAGAGATGCCACCACAACGAGAAGCCCATGCCTGACAAAATGAGAGTAGCCCCTACTCACTGCAGCTAGATAAAGCCTGCTTGCAGCCACGAGGACCAGCACAGCCTAAAAAAAAATTTTTAATTAAAAAAAAAAAGCAGAGATGTCCAGATTGGCTTGTAGGTCATTGTTCATCACTCCCCTGATCTATATGCTGTCTGGATGGCCCAGGAACAGGCTAGGACACAGACCACCAACATTGAAAGGGGAAGCCCACCCAAGAGATTGAACAAGAATAACCATAAATGTGAGAAGGGAAACTTATTTCCCACTGCTGAGTTGAATCATCCCTTAAAAACACAAATTCAAATTAATTTTTAAATGTAGCCAGGATTTTTTTTTAGGTAATACCACCTCAGGAATTTTTTTTCAAGTTAATCTATTTATTTGGCTGTGTTGAGGCTCTGTTGTGGCATGTGGTCTCTCTACTTCTGGTGATTGGACTCAATTGCCCTGCGGCATGTGGGATCTTAGTTCCCTGACCAGGGATCGAACCTGAGTCCCCTATGTTGTGATGTAGATTCTTAACCATTGGACCACCAGGGAAGTCTCAGATTGTTTTTAAAGTTTCTGATGAGGGTTAACTATCTGGAAGTCCACTGGTGTTTCAGTCCTCAGAGGAGGCCAGTGAGGGTGCAGAAATATGTGAGATATTAAAGTGTGTGTGTATGTATGGATGAGTTGGGTCATCTGTAATAACTGCTAAGCAAATGACTGGCTTTTTCTTTTTTTAATTTGGGGGAAATTTCAGGGATCAACGGGGTGGCTTTCGTTTCCTTTGCGGGTATGGAGTCTATTTTGGATGAGCGCTTCTTGCAAGATCTTCAGAACCCCTGGGCCAACTCCAAGAAGAAGCTGAAGATGAATTCTCGTGTTGTTGGGGGCATCATAACAGGAGGGAAGAAAGACGGGTTCTCTAAACCAGTCATCTATACTCTGGAGAACATCAAGGTTGGTGACAAGGTTTGCACTGGGCCCCCAGCTATCTACTGGGAACTCCATGTCCTCTATTGGCTTAACTCTCAGTTTTTGACAGGGACCTGTTAAGCAGAGGTTCCCTAGTGGCTCAGTGATAAGGAATCTACCTGCTAATGCAGGAGACGTGGGTTTGATCCCTGGGTTGGAACATTCCCCTGGAGAAGGAAATGGCAACCCACTCCAGTATTCTTTCCTGGAAAATCCTATGGACAGAGGAGCCTGGTGGGCTACAGTCCATGGATTCGCAAAGAGTCGGACACAACTTAGTGACAACATTAAGCAGCAAGTGTCCACAATTTCTGATAACTCAACGACTTCCCAAAATCCACTGCTAGAAAAATGAGCTCTTCTATTTCAATGTGGCATTTTTCCATTCATCAATGGGTAAGGTTGAGGTTAGATTAAGTAATGTTGATGCAGGAACATTTACATGAACTTTATTTATAGTAATTATAACCAAGTTGGTAATGGATACAGGTCTGGCACCTGAGACATTTCTTTTCATCACTGCACATTGAAATATCAGCATTTTTCTCTATTCTGTACAGAACATGCCCACATTTTCTTGAGTTGGTCAGGTTGAATCCATTCAAGATGGATTCTCAGGTAACTAAAGGTTCTGAATTTTCAGCCAAAGCAGGATTTTGAGAGTGCTATCTGCGTTTCCTGGAGACCAGATGTGGAGGGAGGCAGATGGACACCCTCAGGCTGTGTGCTCCTTGAAGCTTCCAAGACGCATACTGTCTGCGGCTGTAATCGAATGGTGAACTTGGCTGTCATCATGGCTTCTGGGGAGCTCACGGTCAGTAATGACACTCTGTAGTCTGGGTCCTCAAATCCAACGGGAAAATACTGATTAACATCCATTGTGCGCCTCTCATGGAATTGAGCATTGTGGGAGGGAGTCAAGGGGACAGAAGGGGTGTGTGCCATATCTCTGCCCTTAGAGAATTCATGGTCTGGTTGAGAAGCCATGACACTTGCATATGAAATGAGAACTGACTCTAAACAGGTGCAGGCACGATAATAACCACAAACCCCACTTCTAGAGCACCTGGACTTCCCAGGTGGCGCTAGTGTAAAGAACCCACCTGCCAATACAGGAGATAGAAAGTGATGTGGGTTTGATCCCTGGATCAGGAAGATCCCCTGGAGAAGGACATGGTAACTCACTCCAGTATTCTTGCCTGGAGAATCCCATGGACAGAGGAGCCTGGCAGGATATAGTCCATGGGGTCGAAAAGAGTCAGACATGACTAAAGTGCCTTAACACACACTATGTGCTTGACTCTTTAGCTGTTTTTAGATGCCCTTCTCAGGACAGGAGGCTGGACCTCAGTAGTCTGTTTAGTCATGAAGCCAATAATTAGTAGAGATGGGATTCAAACCCAGGATGGTCTGAGTCCAGAGGTCTCTTTCTCCAAAATCGTCTATAGGCATACTTCATTTTATTGCACTTTGCAGATATCACTTTTTTTAAAAAAAAAAAGAGAAAACAAATTGAAGGTTTGTGGCGACCCTGTGTGCATTGAGCAAGTCTGTTGGCACCATTTTCCCAACAGCATTTGCTCACTCCATATCTCTGTGTCACATTTTGGTCATTCTCAAAACATCTTAAACCTTCCACCAGCAAAAAGATTATGACTCACTGAAGGCTCAGATGACGGCAGCATCTTTTAGCAATAAAGTATTTTTTAATAAAGGTATCTACATTTCCAGACATGTGCTATTATACACTTTAAACGTGTATGGTGAGTATAGTGGCATGTAAACATAACTTTTATATGCACTGGGAGATAAAAATTCGTGTGACTCATTTTATTGCCAATATTTGCTTTATTGCGGTGGTCTGGAATTGAACCTGCACTGTCTCTGAGGTCTGCCTGTATATGGTGCAAGAATTTGTGTTACAGAAACTGACAGTTGTATCACTGAGAAGTGGGGTTAGGTCAGGGAGGTGGTAGAACATGAAATAAGCCTCAGTGAGAAGCTAGGTTTGGTAGAGAGGAAAGACATGCTCATCAGTGCTGTGATGGGTATCCTTGTCTATCGCAGGATCCCGAGTTCAGTTCTCTGCCAAGCAGGTCCTAAATTGCTACTTAGAGGAATGTAAGGCTTAAGACAAGAAAATTCGATCCAGAGCAAGTCCAGCCTAGTTTCAAGTCCCATCTCAATCACTTCGTAGCTGTGTTTCCATTGGCATATCACTCAGCCTCTCTGAGCTGAGCCAAATGTTTTCATCTTAAAAATGAGAACAAGAGAAAAATGATGACTCAGGAGTTCCCTGGCAGTCCAGTGATCAGGACTCAGCACTTTCACTTCCATGTCCTGGGTTCAATCCCAGGTCTGGGAACTAAGATACCACAAAGTGTGGCCCAAAGACAAAAACAAAAAATAAAAAGCATCAGCATTTAATTAGGGAAAAAGAGAAAAAATGATGATGAAAATGAACATTTATGCATGTTTTCTGCACTGTTGTAAGTACTTTAAGCATTTTCGTTGAATCCTCTTGGAACTGTTCCACATGATAGTTACTGTTAGTATCCTCATTTTAACAGAGGAAGAAATGGGCACAGAGCAGTTAAGTATCTTGCCCAAGCTTAAACAGCCAGAAACTGGCAGAATTGTAGTCTTAACCACTACATCACAGCATCATAGAGAAGCTGGTGTCTGGCATATCTTTAACACACAGAAAGCACCCCCAATAAAATTAATTACAAATAATGGCACAGGGAAGGACTCAACTTGTCACCTCCACTCCTAGAAGTTGGAGCATCTCGGAACACCTATTATCAGTCCTGGTTCAGTGCAGGTAACAGGAACCTCTCAAGGTATGTCAAGCAGGAAAGTATTTAATACAGGGGCTTGGATGATCACAGAATTCTTGGAAGGGATGGAGGACTTGAAGTCAGGGGGTTCTGCCACTTTAATTTGGCTTCAAGATCACCCCTCTGCAGCTGAAATCCAGGGGTCATAAATTACCTTTGGCATTTCACCCCACATCCATGAAATTAAAGATCAGATAGACGGAATGTGAAGTCCAACTACAGCTCACTCCTGTCTGCCGAAAACTGGTATCTGCCTCCATCCTGCCTTTTAAAACCTTCATGTGTGCATCTTCATGTGGAGAACCTAAATGATGTTCAGGACCTTAGCCCCAAGAGATTATGGGAAATGTAGTTTGTAGATGTCTTACCATGTAGGAATAGGGCATAGGTCAGGGATGAGAATGGGTGCTATGGATGCCGAAGGGTGATGATGAACAATGTCTAGTTCACACCGAGCACCCAAGGGAGAAAAAGCTTCCAAGCTCTATATACCTGAGCCAAGAGTCTGGATAGTTCTTTTTCCTGCCTGTGGGTTATACTGGTCTTTCTCTGAGGCCAACAGTGTATCTCTTTTCTGACAGATGGAGTTCACCCTGTACCTCATCAGTCACGTGGGCACGATCATCTCACTGGTGTGTCTTGCCACGGCCATCATCACCTTCCTTGTGTGTCGCACCATCCGAAACCAGAACACCTACATCCACCTGCACCTCTGCATATGCCTCTTCTTGGCCAAGATACTGTTTCTCACTGGTGTGGACAAGACCGACAACCAGGTCTCGTATCCCTCAGGCTGTGTCCCCATCCAGCCACATCATCTCCCAGTCTGCTTCTGCTCATCCTCACCTAACTCTCTCAATGCTACTTTCCACCTCAGGACCCTTGCACATGCTTTTCCCGCTTTTCATACTCATCGGCCAGCTTCTAGTTGATGCCTTCTTGTGATAGGTCTCAGTTTAGAATGATTTTCCTGATCATGTTATGTATGGGGGTGGTCTCACTTCCTACTCTTTAAGCCTTTGGTTCTTACCTGGGATGATTCCGTGCCCTCAGGGGACACTTGGCAATGTCTGATGTTGTTAGTTGTCACCTTTGGGAGGGGATGCTGCTAAACATCTTACAATGCACAGGACAGTCTCCCCCGTCTTCCCGCAGCAGAAAATAATAAGGCAATAGTGTTACAAATGTCTTCCCTTATGGCCTAGCTGGTAAAGAATCCGCCTGCAATGCAGGAGACCTGGGTTCAGTCCCTGGGTCAGAAAGATCCCTGGAGGAAGAAATGGTTACCCATTCCATTCCTGCCTGGGAATCCCACGGACCGAGGAGCATGGTGGGCTCATCTGGGGTTACAAAGAATCAGACATGACTGCACACAACACAGCAAGCAGTAGCAGTGTTATAAATATTAGTAATGCTACAGTTGAGAAATTCTTTGTTTAAAAACTGAAATATAGTTGATTTACTGTGTTGTGGCAATCTCTGCTATACAAAAAAGTCACTCATTTGTATATACATATGTACATTCTTTTTTAATATTCTTTTCCATTGTGGTTTATCACTGGATATTCAGCATAGTTCTCTGTGCTATACAGTAGGACCTTGTGTCTATCCATTCTAAATTTAATAATTTGCATCTAACCACCCCAAACTCACAGTCCATCCCTCTCCCTCCCCCCACCTTGGTGACAATGAGTCTGCTCTCTATGTCTGTGAGTCTGTTTCTGTTTTGTAGGTAGGTTCATTTGTATCATAGTTTAGATTCCACATATAAATGATATCATATGGTAATTGTTTTCTCTTTCTGACTTACTTCACTTAGTGAGATCATCTCTAGTTGCATCCATAGGTGAGAAATTCTACTTTTTATCACTCTCTTTTGCATCTTTTCCCAGCACCTATTAATATTTGAAACCATATTGATTTTTTTTTGTTCTTGTTTTACTTATTGTGTATCTACCTCTTCCACAAGATTGTGTGTCCCATGAGAACAAGAACTTTTGGCCAATTAAGCTCCAAAAAGTGTGTCAGAAACAGTAGGTTCTCGGGGTATTTCCAAAGGAAGCACTAGTGACATTTCAGGTGGGATGATCATTCTTAAAGCAGAACTACCCTCTCACTATGGGATGTTTCACTTCCTAGACCCCTTGGGAGCCAAAGGCTAGTAGCACTCCCAACCTCTTATCATGGGACCTAGGGTGAACAAAATTTTCCTATAAAGAAGCAGATAAAAGTATCTTTAATTTTGCAGATGCTGTGGTCTCCATTGGCAGCTACTCAACTCTGCCATTTTAGCATGAACAAAGCCATGTTGTTGTTTAGTCACTCAGTCGTGTCTGACTCTTTGCGACCCCATGGACTGTACCCCGTCAGGCTCCTCTATCCATGGGGCAAGAATACTGGAATGGGTTGCCATTTCCTTCTCCAGGGGATCTTTCTGACCCAGAGACTGAGCCTCCCCTCACCCATCTCCTGGCATTGGCACACGAGTTCTTTACCCACTGAGACACCAGGGAAACCTGAAAGCGGCCATAGAGAATACATAAATGGGGAAGGCTGTGTGTCAATGAGATGTTAATTACAAAACCTGCAACCGGTCCATGGCTGTAGTTTGTGGATCCCTTCTCCTCCCCCGACCCCTGTATCTTCAAACATTCCCTAAAGTAGGGTGATCGTCTATCTGTTTTTCTCTCAGACTCTCCCAGTTTTAGCACTGGAAGTTGTACATCCTGAGGAAACTCATTTCTAGGGAAACCAGAATGATTGGTGTCCCTACTAAAGGGATGGAACTACCTGTAGTGAAGAATATATCTATAAATATTTGTGGAATGAATGAAGAGGCCGTGTTTGGGGAAGTCCAGTCAAAGTAGCCCCTTTATGGTTTGGTTTTTTTTTTTTTATCAGAAGATAATTGCTTTACAACTCTGTGCTGGCTTCTGCCATACATCAACATGAATCAGAGAAGGAGGCAGGACACAACCCTGAAAGAATGACATAGCTTTTGAGGATACAGTATAAACTGATTAGACCCAACTAGGTCCAAGATGGCAGAAGATTCAACTTGCACTAGACCTTGAGCCTCATTATACACTACTGTAATACATTAGGATGCTAAATGACCACCCACAGGCAGCCAGGTCCACCATCAAAGACTAAAAAGTGGGCAGTGCCCAATTCCTGGAAATCCCTGCTCCTTCCCCAAAATATATAGTTGAAATAATCCTCCTACTTGTTAGCCTATGAAATTACCCAGCCCATAAAAACTAACCACCCTGTGTTCACAGCTGCTTTCTTCTTTTGAGACGGACAGAATTCTGTCATGGAATATGTGTGTGTGTGTGTGTGTGTGTGTAGTGTGTGGTGTGCATGCTCAGTCATGTCTGACTTTTTGTGACCACATGGACTGTAGCCCACCAGGTTCCTCTGTCCATGGTATTCTCAAGGCAAGAATACAGGAGTGGGTTGCCATGCCCTCCTCCAGGAGATCTTCCCAACCCAGGGATCGAACCCATGTGTCTTGCATCTCCTGCATTGGCAGCTGGATTCTTTACCACTGAGCCACTTGGGAAGCTATATGGAATGTACAGATATACATTCTAAATAAATAATGCACACTCTAAATAAATCCACTTCTTACCTATCAAAAGCAACAACAACAGCAACAGAGGAACTGCTTCTCCACCCTCTTCCTCTGAACATACTCCCTGGAGTAAGGGAGACTGAAGGTGCCTGATTCTCCTCCACAGATGGGCTGCGCCCTCATCGCAGGCTTTCTGCACTACCTTTTCCTTGCGTGCTTCTTCTGGATGCTGGTGGAGGCTGTGATACTCTTCCTTATGGTCAGGAACCTGAAAGTGGTGAATTACTTCAGTTCTCGGAACATCAAGATGCTGTATCTCTGCGCCTTTGGCTATGGGCTCCCGGGGATAGTGGTGGCTGTCTCTGCTGGCTTACAACCACAGGGTTATGGGATGTATAATCGGTAAGTGACATTCTTCTCTTTCCCTGAAAATTATTGTTATTATTAATTATTCCATGGTGATAATTAAATGGACACACAAAAGAGCAATAACAGGAGCAGTAGTCATGCCTACCATTTATTGAGCTCTTACTTTATGGGCTGTAGATCTCAGGGCTGCCATGGGCAGTAGCACAGGTTGTGCACTGCACAAATCCAGAAGCCATTGTTTGCACTATAGTATCGGTGGGTAGTGGCAATGTAAACAGTAAACTTGATTGCAAAGTTTTCAGTTTGTGGACTATAGAGCCAACTTGCTTGGGTCTGGATCCTGGCTACACCACTGTCTAGCTATGCTGCCTTGGGCAATTTACTTAAACTCTGTATGCTCTCATTTCCTCATCTATTATATGCAAGCTGATGACAATGCCTATATTATAGTGTTATTGTGAGTGTTGAATGAGTTAGTGTCTGCAAATTATTTAGACAGTGTCTGGCACAATGCAAAGCATTACACATGTTATTATTGCCACCATTCTTTTGCCATGGTCTCTTTTTTTTTTTTTTTCATTTAGTTGGAGGAAAATTACTTTACAATGTTGTGTTGGTTTCTACCATACAACAACGTGAATCAATCATAAGTATGTATTTGTCTCCTCCCTCGTCAGCCTCCCTCCCCTCTACCACCCCACTCTCTCTAGGTTGTCACAGAGCACCAAGCTGGGCTCCCTGTATTACACAGCAGCCTCTCACTGACAACTCCATGGACAATAGGAGCCTGGCAGGCTACAGTCCATAGGGTTGCACAAAGTCAGACACGAGTGAAGCAACTGAGCATGCTTGCACTGGCTATCTATTTTACACATGAGTGTGTGTATATGTCAATGGTACTTTCTCAATTCGTCCCACTCTCTCCTTCCTCCGCGGTGTTCACAAATCTCTTCTCTACATCTGCATCTTCATTCCTTCTCTGCAAATACATTCATCAGTACCATTTTTTCTAGATTCCATGTATATGCATTAATATATTGTTTTTCTGTTTGTATTTCTCTCGGTATTTGTTTTTCTCTTTCTGACTTACTTTGCTCTGCATAACAGGCTCTAGGTACATCCACCTCACTACAACTGACCCAAATTCGTCCCTTTTTATGGCTTAGAAATATTCTGCCATGGTCTGTTTTAAAGTGAGGTAGATTAATCAAAGGTTCTATGTGAGAAGATAGTAGTTACAGTTGTTGTTCAGTTGCTCAGTCGTGTCCAACTCTTTGTGACCCCATGGACTGCAGCACACTAGGTTTCCCTGTCCTTCACTATTTCCTGGGATTTACTCAAACTCATGTCCATTGAGTCAGTGATGACAGTCAACCATCTCCTCCTCTGTCACCCCCTTCTCCTGCCCTCAATCTTTCCCAGCATCAGGGTCTTTTCCAATGAGTCAGCTCTTCTTATCAGGTGGCCAAAGTATTGGAGCTTCAACTTCAACATCAATCCTTCCAACGAATATTCAGGGTTGATTTCCTTTAGGATTGACTGGTTTAATCCCCTTGCTGTCCAACAGACTCTCAAGAGTCTTTTCCAGTACCACAGTACAAAAGCATTAATTCTTCAGCGCTCAGCCTTTTTTTATGGTCCAACTCTTGGACCATACATGACTACTGGAAAAACCATAACTTTGACTATATGGACATTTGTCAACAAAGTCTGGGCTCACTAAAATCATTCTTTTCATTTGCATCCCAGCTATCTGGGGCCAATATCCTGGTTTTTCACATTTCCACCCCTAGGTCTTCAGTGCTCACAAAGGGGAGTGGTTTATGGCTGCCTAATAGCAGGTATTGTTTTTCCTGATCGCCCTCCAGGCTCAGAAATTCACTTTTGGAGGACTGCAATCGCTGATGGCTGTGACATCCTTGTTTACTGATATGTCAGGAAACACTCCATTTCTCACTTCATTTCTATTACCAAATGATTACAGAATGCCTCATCCATGCCAGGCTTTGCACTAAGTGATGGGTATTCAGAGATAAACAAAACATTCAAAGTCCAAATTCTCCTGCAGCTCATAGTCTAGTAGGGAAAGATAGACAATGTAAACAAACAACTGAGCAAGATAATTTATGATACTGATAGATGTTATGGAAAAAAAAGCAGCAAATTCTGCTAGGAAAGGACCAGACACAGTGTGACTTTTGAGAGGAGGTGATATTTGAGCTGAATGACAAAGTGTACTGTGGAGAGTTCTGGAGAGAGAGAGTACAAAGGTTATGAACTGAGAAATGATCTCTATCCCAGGCGTTAAGAGAACATTTCAGGAACGTTCACTAAGGAAGAAGGTCTGAAAGAAAATTTTCACTTCAACCTCATCCTCCAATACTCTTCCATAAGCATATCTGGCAGGGCGTGAGTCATTTGAGGGTTGGGACTTGGATACAATGACTGACTCCTGTTTTTCTTCATAGCTGCTGGCTGAATACAGAAACAGGGTTCATCTGGAGCTTCCTGGGGCCGGTGTGCACAATTATAGTGGTAAGCTGATTGCTTGGTTTGGTGTGTTTTGGAGGAGGATCAAAGAGACCCAGGGCTTCCCAGGTGCGCTTTGTGGTAAAGAACCTGCCTGCCAATGCAGGAGATGTAAGAAAAGTGGATTCAATCCCTGGGTCGGGAAGATCACCTGGAGGAGGACATGGCAACCCACTCCAGTATTCTTGCCTGGAGAATCCTATGGACAGAGAAGCCTGGCGGGCTACAGTCCATGAGGTTGCAAAGAGTCGGACACGACTGAGTACTAACACACGTGGTAAGGGACTCAGCCAAAGGGACTCATTTGTCAAATCACTTGCTTTTGTCAGAGACTCAAAAATAGGCAGATGAGTGGGAAAGTTTTATAGAGAAAAAAAGGAAGCCTTCAGGTATGCCTTGCTCAGAGGCTGTTGACACAAGGACTCTACAGGTAGGCTGACTAAATGCAGGGCATCCTAAGTAATCGGAAAGGGTTACATATTGGCTTTCTCCTTTTGGTCCTAAGTTGGAAGCAGACGCAGAAATGAGGGAGGCTGTCAATTATCAGTCAAGTCCTAATCCTCTGGGGTTGGTTGCTGAAGGAGTTGTTGTTTGGGCTTCCTGGAGTGGTTACTGCAGACTATAGATCAAAGTTCTCTTTTCATAAATGAGCTGGCCATCATCAATTTGTATATCCAGACTTTCCATCCCTTCTTGGCTCTGTAGGTCAACTCCATCCTCCTGACTTGGACACTATGTATCCTGAGGCAGAAGCTTTCTAATGTCAGTGCAGAAGTCTCCACACTCAAAGACACCAGGTACAGTCCAGCCTCCCTTTCTTCTCATCTTCTTGTCTCCTTTCCTTCTTTCCCCAAATATTCACTGAGTACCTTTTGTAAGCCTGGTCCTGCACTCCAAATGGAATATAGCCCAGTGTCTAGATCAGGAAGGCACGTGAAGCATGCCTTAGCACCATTGCTAGGAGGAACGAGTTATTCCAATACTAAAATCTGTTGACAATACCTTTTTTAAGATATAGTGTTTCAGTGTAAGGATGGAACACAGTTTATTTAAATGATCTGGTGGCTCAGATGGTAAAGAATCCACCTGCAGTGTGGAAGACCTGAGTTTGATCCCTGGGTTGGGAAGATCCCCCAGAGAAGAGCACTCTAGTATTCTTGCCTGGAGAATTCCATAGACAGAGGAGCCTGGCAGGCTACAGCCCATGGGGTCACAAAGAGTCAGACCCCACTGAGTGACTGAACACACACACCAACTCCAAACTCTCAGTTCACCCCTCCCCCACACCCCCTCCTCCTTGGTAACCACAAGTCTGTTCTCTGTGTCTGTGAGTTTGTTTGTTTTTTAGATAGCTTCATTTGTGCCATATTTCAAATTCCCCATACAAGTGATATCATATGTTATTTTTCTTTCTCTGTCTGACTTACTTCACTTAGTATGATCATCTCTAGGTCCATCCATGTTGCTGCAAATGGCATTATTTCATCCTTTTTCAGGGCCATGTAATATTCCATTGTCTATATGTACCATGTCTTCTTTATGCATCCATCTGCTGATGACCATTTAGGTTGCTTCCATGGCTTGGCTACTTTATGTCTAGCCTTTTATTACCATCGACAATATTGCATTAAATACATGTGTCCACACATCTTTGTGACCATGTGTATCTGTAGGCCAATTGCCTTTTCAATGGCTGTAGGATTTGACTTCCCTACCTCTAGGCTTGGAAACCTGTGTTCCACATTTATTCTTACCCAGGTGATGGGTCACATGGTGGCAACCTCAGACTATACCTGGGAACATGGTGGCCCATGAGGATGACAGCCAGAACTATATCCTCTGCAAATCTTCCCCTCCAGGTTACTGACCTTCAAAGCCTTTGCTCAGATCTTCATCTTGGGGTGCTCCTGGGTGTTGGGCATTTTCCAGTTTGGACCCGTGGCCAATATCATGGCTTATCTGTTCACCGTCATCAACAGCTTGCAGGGGGCCTTCATCTTCCTCATTCATTGCCTGCTCAACCGCCAGGTGTGTACCTGCTGCCCTCCCAGCCCCACTCCTTCCCAGGGAGATTGCCCCTGCCACATACACTCCTCCTGTATCTAAGAGTGTGTCATCTCCCCATGGTGTGCATCCACCTTCAGGTACGTGAAGAATACAGAAGATGCATGACCAGGAAGACTAAACCCAGCTCTGAGACCCAGACCTCAGGGATCTTACTGTCATCCGTTCCCTCCACTTCCAAATCGGTGAGAGATTGTGTGTTGTCTGCATGTTCTGGTCAGACCAAGTGTTATGTGTTGAGTACCTGCTATAAGCTAAGCATTTGTTGTTATTCAGTCACTCATTTGTGTCCAACTCTTTGTGACCCTGTGGACTGCAGCACAACAGGCTTTCCTGTCCTTCACTATCTCTCAGAGTTTGCTCAAACTTATGTCCATTGAGTTGGTAATAACCATATAACCATCTCATCTTATGTTGTCCCCTTCTCCTACTGCCCTCAATTTTTCCTAGCATCAGGGTCTTTTGCAGTGAGCTGACTCCTCCCATCAGGTGGCCAAAGTACTGGAGCTTCAGCTTCAGCATCAGTCCTTGCAATGAATAGTCGGGGTTGGTTTCCTTTAGGATTGACTGGTTTGATCTCCTTGCTGTCCAAGGGACTCTTAAGAGTTTTCTCTAGAGCTACAGTTCAAAAGCAGAGAAGGAAATGGCAACCCACTCCAGTGTTCTTGCCTCGAGGGTTCCATGGACAGAGGAGCCTGGTGGGCTGCAGTCCGTGGGGTCGCAATAGTCAGACATGACTGAACGACTAAACCACCACCCCCACAATTCAAAAGCATGAATTTTTTGGTGCTCAGCCTTCTTTATGGTCCAACTCTTGTATCCGTATATGGCTACTGGAAAAACCATAGCTTTGACATTCATGTGTATTGACTCATTTGATAAACTGTGGTATTTAAAAGTGGGGATTGGGAAACTAAGCTGCCTGGGTTTAAATCCCAGCTCTGTGCTTCAATAGCTGTGCAAACTAAAAAAGATAAAATCATGACTCATGGATATGAAATAAGCATATGTTAAGGATTTTATTCTGCTTATGAATCATTGAAGGAATGAAGAGATGTTGTAACTCGCTCACAAGAGAATGCAAAGAACATACATGTCTGTGTATTACGTCACACATATAATATATACAATGTACACATAATGCATAGCACTCATAATGTATACAATGTTCACAATGTATACATAATACATAGTATTACTCTACTTTTAATTTATATATATGTATGCTCTTTGTGTTGTCTTTTGAACCAGTTATAACATCTGCCTGGTTTCCTCATTGGTAAATAAATGTAATATATATAATATAATATATCTATATATCATATAATTATATATACATAATTGTAAATAGATATTGCTTCTAATTATTCATATTATAATATATAAATTTTATATTTGTTATTGTTGTTTAGTTGCTAAGACATGTCCCACTCTTTGTGACTCCATGAACTATAGTCTGCTATAAGTATATATAAGTATAATATATAATATATATTAATATATATAAGTATATTAACATATATTAATGTATTATATTATATTATTATAATTATTATATATTTAGTACATATTTGTTTGATATTTATATATTTATATTTATTTATTTATATTTATATAAATATATTTATATACTTATATTTATTTAAAATATATTTCTATATATTTCAAATATACTTTTATATATTTGAAATATATTTATATAAATATTTATATTTATAATATATTTATATTATATTATATATTTAATATATATTGTATATTATTATATATTAACAATATATTGATATATATTAATAAATATAATATATATAAGTATAAATACATATAAGTCTACAAATATATATAAGTATAATATATAATACATATATTATATAAAAATTTTATATGTAATATATAAATTATACATATAATTGTATATACAGACTTTGTATATGTAATTATTCATATTGTATAATATATGCATTTTAAATTATGTATTATATAAATATAAATTTATATTATATATAAATTGTACATAAGAATTTAAATATATAGACATTATATATAATTATTCATATTATTTAATATATATAATGTACATGTAATGTAAATATTCAGAAGTTATATAGAATCATTTATATTACATAACACATAAAATTCATAAATTTGTTTATTTATGTATTAATATATTAATTATGATACATATATAATCTCAATAATATCAAAATGAATGCACAATTAGAGGCAAAACTATTTTTTCCATGAAATTGTTTCCCATCACTGTCAGTTGTTTAAAACTGATAAAATTGTAAAGTAGTTCGACTATAGATCAGAGCCAGATAACCTGGAGGGGAGGAGGTATCCCCTGACAACACATCATTTTCCATCAAAGTGCACATTGGATCTTCTACACAGTGGATCTCATCCAATCTCATGGCTATACCACCACCTATTAGCAATGACTCCCAAAATTTAAATAATGTGCTGTCCAGCCTTGTCTCCTGAATTATATACTCGTATAACCTACCACCTACCAAATGCCTACTTAGATATCTAATGGATATTTCAGAGGTAGCCTGTCCCAAATGAGCTTCTCACTTGGAATATGTCACATCATCAGATTCCCCCACCTCTCATTTCCACAGAGGGTCCTCTATTTTTCTATTGTTCAAGAGTGAAGTTGTGAAATTAACGTTGACTCTGCTTGACTCTGCTTGACTCTGCTTTTTCTCTCCCCTTCCCTCATCTCTGCTCCCTCAGCAAATCCTGCTGACTCTTCCTCAAAATAGATCTAGAATCTGGTTGCTTCTTTTTCCCTTCATTCCTTCTACTGTGGTCCAAGTCCTATTGTCTCTCTCCACAATGATGGAAATAAGCTCAAAAGAAGTCTACCTTGCTGCCTCTCCAGTCTTTTCCCTGCCTTATCTTGCTCGGTTCTCCTTGTAGCAACCGGAGGGTGCTCGTGAGCAACCAAGTCAGATATCTTCCCTTCTCTACCTACACACTCCATGGCTCCCACGTTATCCAGAGTCAAAGCCAACGTCCTCCTTGTGGCCCACAGGGCCTCGTCTGATCTAACTCTCTTTTCCTTCCTGTCCTGTCATCTGCCAATAGACCCCTCATTTCACTCTGCCCCACCCACGCTGGACTGCTCAAGATTCTTTAGGCATGCCAGGCTCGCTTCCTCCTTTGGAGTCTTGAACTGAATGTTCTTGAATGCCTTGAATGTTTTTGTCCTGGCACCCACACAGACAACTCCCTCACTTCCTTCAAATCTCTGCTCCAGTCATTTCTTTTCAATAGAATTTCCTCTGATAACTCCATTTTGTGCAGCTTCCTATTCACCCACCCAGGTATTCATGCTTGTCCCACACCCTTATCTTGATTTTCTTTTCAGTACTTTCTACTTTCTAACACTACAATTTCCTTATTTACTTGCATTTATCTTTTGTGGTCCTACATCTCCTACCAGAATGTCTTATTATTTTTCCCCTCTGATGTATTCCAAGAACAAGTAACTAAGACCCAGTGGCTTAAAAGGCGAAAGATTTATACGATCTGAAGAGAAACCAGAGTATGACCCAGTGGCTTAAATAAATAGGAAATTATTTTTATCGCAAGAATAGAAGCTCAGAGTTAGGCGTTTCTGGTATTGGTTCTGTTGCTTAGTAAGGTTGCTAAGGATCTAAACTCTTCCTAGTTTTCCATCTGACCAATAACATGCTGACTTTTCATCAATTATTTTCATGGTTACAAGGTGGCTGCCATAGCTCCAGTCATCACGACCATGTTCAAGGCAGGAACAAGAATGATGGGACAGAGTGGCAAACTCACCTTTCAACCCTCTCTCTTCAACGAGAAACAAAAGCTTTTCCAGAAGCCCCTTAGTGGATTTCCCTTTCACCTAATTGATCAGAACTGTATCACACGAACACTCATAGTTACAGAGAAATTTGACAAACAAGTATTTCTAGCTTCTAGAAATACTTCCATTTCTAGAATGGAAACATCAATAGTCAAGAGGCTGAGAATAGCTTTTGAGTTGGTCAACAGTGCCTGCCACACTGGAGGTAATCATTGTTCACATTTTAATGTTTATCCTTCTGGTTTTTGTTGTCATATTTATCTCTGCCTGTATTTGTAAGACCTGTGCCCACATACACATGATCCCTGAGTTCAAATTGTACTAATCGTGCCATTGATTCTGACTCTGATTTCTCTCACAGGGTTGAAGTCCCTTCTTGCTTTCAAATACACAATGGAACAACATCTCAGGAAACAGGTGCCTGCAGAAGCCTTCTCTGAAATCTCTTCTCAGCTTAGTGTGGAAACGCAGTATCTCGCCAGCCCTAGAACTCTCTGGGCAATTTGGATTATGGATGATTGGGTGGGGTGGTCTTCCCATGGCTTCCCGCCCTGGTGAGAAAAGAAGAGCTTCTGTTCCAGCTTACCATTTTATCTTCCGTTTTCTGCAACTCTGACTTTTCAGAGTTTTGTGGAGATAATAGATCGCAGTGCAATGGCAGGACCAAGGACTTCTGGCTACCACTTTGATTTGTCCTAAGTCCATTGATGTGTGGCTTTAAGCATGCCTCTCCAGCTTCTATCACATGCTTCACACACAGAGTAGCCCTAAATAAATGATTTGTTTTCTGACTGGCTTGCTTGCTTTTCAACAAAGACCCCTTCAGCTCTTTTTAAAACTCCCCCCCACCCCAGGTACTAGGGTATAGCCGATTAACAAACAGTGTTGTGATAGTTTCAGGTGAACATCAAAGGGACTCAGCCACACACACACACACATGTATCCATTCTCCCTCAAACTCCTCTCCCATCCAGGCTGCCACTTAACCCTGAGCAGAGTTCTCCTTGCTATACCTTAGGTCCTTGTTGGTTACCCATTTTAAATACAGCAGTGTAACATGTCCATCACATACTCCCCCCTGGTAGCCATAAGTTCATTCTCTAAGTCTGTGAGTCTCTTTCTGTTTTGAACAGAAGTTAATTTGTATCATTTCTTGTTAGATTCCATATATAAGGGGTGTCATATGATATTTCTCCTTCTCTGTCTGACTTACTTCACTTAGTATAGCAAGGTTCATCGTTTTGCGGCAAATGGCATTATTTCACTCTTTTTAGTGGCCAAGTAATATTCCACTGTATATGCTTACCACATCTTCTTTATCCATTTCTCTGTCCATGGCCATTTAGATTGTTTCCATGTCTTGGCTATTTTGTAAACAGTGCTGCTATGAACATTAGGGTGCATGCACCTTTTCAAATTAGACTTTTCATCTTTCCCTGATATATGTCTGGGAGTAGGATTGCTGGATCATATGATCACTCTGTTTCTAGTTTTGTTTTTTTTTTTTTTTTGAGGAAGCTCCACACTGTTTTCCACTGAACTCTACTATTTCTAAAATAACAACAGGCGACTTAAGCCAGGTTCCCTAAAAGCAGAATATGGGAGGGGTGATTTTGGTGCTCATGGTTTATTGACAGAATGCTCTGAAAAGAGAGAAAAAGTGAAGGAAACAAGATGAATAGAAGGAGCCAGGCCAGTTTACAGTCTTGACTGGGAGTTACTTCCATGAACTGTATCTCAGCCTCATCCCATTTTGACACAAGAGAAGCAGCCATTTTTTAAAAATCTCTGTCAGTCAATTATTGGCTGTGTGCTGCCCCCACTGTGATGGGAAGATGTTTAACAGCTCCTGCTTCATGGAGACCAATTTCCAGCAGAACATTGTAGGGCTGGGGGCTGAGACAGTAAAGAATCCCATAGCTAGAATGGGAATGCCTGCAATGCTGGAGACACAGGTTTGATCCCTGGTTGGGAAATCACCTGGAGAAGGGAATGGCAACCCACTCCAGTATCCTTGCCTGGAGAATCCCATGAACAGAGGAGCCTGGCAGGCTATAGTCCATGGGATCCCAAAGAGTCGGACACGACTGAGCATTTTCAGGAGAAGAGGGCAGACAACTGACCCAGGGAGACATGCCAACAATAATAACGACTGCCCATCCTCATGACCAGCAAACATGACAGAAGGACTTGTATTCGCATTTAGATATGTGTTTCGAGCTCATTCTAATGAGATTCTGAACTGCACTAAAAAGATGTTTATTTCAAATGATGTTCCAAGCTTCTGAGACATTCTGATGAAACCTTTCCCTTTCTGAAAGATCTTAGAGATTGCTTACCATACCATTTGACTTTTTAAATGATCTTTTACATTTATTTTTAGTTGGAGTCTAACTTCTTTACAATGCTGTGTTGATTTCTGCTGTACAACCTTGGGAATCAGCTCTATGTGTATCGCTTCCCTCCTGAGCCACCCTCCCAGCTCCCCCATCCCACCCTCCTAGGTCATACAGAGCTCCGAGTTGAGTTCCCTGTGCTTACAGCAGCTTCCAACTAGCTAGCTATTTTACACAGGAGAGTGTATATATGTCAGTGTTACGCTCTCAATTCATCTCACCCTCTCCTTCCCGCCCTACGTCCACAAGTCTGTTCTCTACGAGGGCGTCTTCATTCCTGCCCTGCAAACAGATTCATCGGCCTCATTTTCCATTGGACTTTATCGAGACTAGAATGCAACGTGATTTTTTTTTTCAATTGAAGTATAGTTGATTTAAAATGTGTCACATGGAGCTCTGCTCAGTGTTATGTGGCCACCTAAGGGGGAGTACAGTTTGGGGGAGAATGTATACTTGTATACGTATGGCTGAGTCCCTTCACTATTCACCTGATGCTATCAGAACATTGTGAATTGGCTATATCCCAATACAAAATTAAAAGTTTTTAAAATGTGTTAATTTCAGGTATACATCAAATTAATATATATATATATATATATTCTTTTTCAGATTATTTTCCATTATAGGTTATTTTGTTGTTGTTCAGTCGCTCCATTGTGTCTGACTGCAACCCCATGGACTGTGGCACTCCAAGCTTCCCCATCCTTCATTATCTCCCAGAGTTTGCTCAAACTCATGTCCATTGAGCCGATGATGCTGTCCGACCATCTCATCCTCCATCGCCTCCTTCTCTTCCTGCCCTCCATTTTTCCCCGCATCAGGGTCCTGCCCAATGAGATGGCTGGCCAAAGTCTTGGAGCTGTAGCTTTAGCACCAGTCCTTCCAATGAATATTCTTTTTTTTTTAAATTTATTTATTTATTTATTTATATCACAACCATAGTGTATCTTTTTTTTTTTTTTTTACACGTATTCCCCATCCCGGTCCCCCCTCCCACCTCCCTCTCCACCCAATCCCTCTGGGTCTTCCCAGTGCACCAGGCCCGAGCACTTGTCTCATGCACCCAACCTGGGCTGGTGAACTGTTTCACCCTAGATAATATACATGTTTCAATGCTGTTCTCTTGAAACATCCCACCCTCGCCTTCTCCCAGAGTCCACAAGTCTGTTCTATACATAGGAGTCTCTTTTTCTGTTTTGCACATAGGGTTATCGTTACCATCTTTCTAAATTCCATATATATGTGTTAGTATACTGTAATGGTCTTTATCTTTCTGGCTTACTTCGCTCTGTATAATGGGCTCCAGTTTCATCCATCTCATTAGAACTGATTCAAATGAATTCTTTTTAATGGCTGAGTAATATTCCATGGTGTATATGTACCACAGCTTCCTCATCCATTCGTCTGCTGATGGGCATCTAGGTTGCTTCCATGTCCTGGCTATTATAAACAGTGCTGCGATGAACATTGGGGTGCACGTGTCTCTTTCAGATCTGGTTTCCTCGGTGTGTATGCCCAGAAGTGGGATTGCTGGGTCATATGGCAGTTCTATTTCCAGCTTTTTAAGAAATCTCCACACTGTTTTCCATAGTGGCTGTACTAATTTGCATTCCCACCAACAGTGTAAGAGGGTTCCCTTTTCTCCACACCCTCTCCAGCATTTATTGCTTGTAGACTTTTGGATAGCAGCCATCCTGACTGGTGTGTAATGGTACCTCATTGTGGTTTTGATTTGCATTTCTCTGATAATGAGTGATGTTGAGCATCTTTTCATGTGTTTGTTAGCCATCTGTATGTCTTCCTTGGAGAAATGTCTGTTCAGTTCTTTGGCCCATTTTTTGATTGGGTCATTTATTTTTCTGGAGTTGAGCTGGAGGAGTTGCTTGTATATTTTTGAGATTAATCCTTTGTCTGTTGCTTCGTTTGCTATTATTTTCTCCCAATCTGAGGGCTGTCTTTTCACCTTGCTTATAGTTTCCTTTGTTGTGCAAAAGCTTTTAAGTTTCATCAGGTCCCATTTGTTTATTTTTGCTTTTATTTCTAAAATTCTGGGATGTGGGTCATAGAGGATCCTGCTGTGATTTATGTCGGAGAGTGTTTTGCCTATGTTCTCCTCTAGGAGTTTTATAGTTTCTGGTCTTACATTTAGATCTTTAATCCATCTTGAGTTTATTTTTGTGTATGGTGTTAGAAAGTGTTCTAGTTTCATTCTTTTACAGGTGGTTGACCAGTTTTCCCAGCACCACTTGTTAAAGAGGTTGTCTTTTTTCCATTGTATATCCTTGCCTCCTTTGTCAAAGATAAGGTGACCATAGGTTCGTGGATTTATCTCTGGGCTTTCTATTCTGTTCCATTGATCTATATTTCTGTCTTTGTGCCAGTACCATACTGTCTTGATGACTGTGGCTTTGTAGTATAGTCTGAAGTCAGGCAGATTGATTCCTCCAGCTCCATTCTTCTTTCTCAGGATTACTTTGGCTATTCGAGGTTTTTTGTATTTCCATACAAATTGTGAAATTATTCGTTCTAGTTCTGTGAAAAATACCGTTGGTAGTTTGATAGGGATTGCATTGAATCTGTAGATTGCTTTGGGTAGTATAGCCATTTTGACAATATTGATTCTTCCAATCCATGAACACGGTATATTTCTCCATCTGTTTGTGTCCTCTTTGATTTCTTTCATCAGTGTTTTATAGTTTTCTATGTATAGGTCTTTTGTTTCTTTAGGTAGATATACTCCTAAGTATTTTATTCTTTTTGTTGCAATGGTGAATGGTATTGTTTCCTTAATTTCTCTTTCTGTTTTCTCATTGTTAGTGTATAGGAATGCAAGAGATTTCTGTGTGTTAATTTTATATCCTGCAACTTTACTGTATTCGTTGATTATCTCTAGTAATTTTCTGGTAGAGTCTTTAGGATTTTCTATGTAGAGGATCATGTCATCTGCAAACAGCGAGAGTTTCACTTCTTC